CGTCACTCGTGTTTTCTCATGAATAAAAAGAGCCACGGGATCAAACGAGGTTAAAGTACTGATAAAGGCTGCGTCAATATCACCGCGTTCGTGCGTGCACGCTATTACCTTCCTTCAGGTTACTGTAACCTGTCTGGAACAACAAACACGCAACTCAAGTAATATTTTCAAATACTTTCGACGCGATAGAAACTACGGGGCAAGTTTGACTCCTCCCTTCAATCGTATTACCGTTACTTTATTCACCGCTTTCCAACTTTCCGGTATACACTTGGTCGATATTGCGACCAGGATGGTGGTCGGGGCCGAAGTATCGCAACCTCTTTCTTCGCAGCATGTTGATTGCGCATTCCACGTTACTTGACATTTTCTGATACGCTGTTTTGCGGAGGAAAAAATGGCTGTATAAATAAGAACGCGGTTATCTTGAGTGTAATGTGTGCGCCGTAGGGGCGAGGGGATGTTTAAAGAGGCCATCGCGGCGCGTGTGGTACTCTCCTCGTTGTTTCCTACTTTCCGAATCTTTGCTCAGGATCGGGCCGCATACCGCGAATACACGTTTTATCTCGGTGGTGCGCGAATTGCGCTCATTAAAATTTGATTTAACTCTTGCATATTTTAGGCGAGATTTGCATCGCGTCGCGCGGTTCAGGATAAAAAGCGAAACCTAAAGAGATGTGTACATACCGCCGCCGCCACCGTCGCCACCGTTGCCGCCGCCGCTGTGACGGGAACATTGAGAAATATATCGCCACGTGCAACCGCTGCACGTTGCACGGTTTTAATCGACGTTTTCCATGGTGTCGCTCGCGGTCCCTCACGATTTTATCTCTCGTCGTTTCAAGTTATAACGCAAGTTATAAAGTTACATGATTTTATTCCGCGAATGTTTGCTCGAACGATTCATCGCTTCAGAATGCGGAAGATAATGTTTACCTAAGCTAAAAATCACAAACGAGCATAAGCCACTCTTCGGTAAGTTTCAAGCGTCCAAAATCAATATAACGTAATAATTATATTTAGAATGTATATAATAATTAATTGTACACTCCAATGCATTTACTGTGTAAATATGAAGCTATGAGCTTTAGACTCATTAAAAATAAAAGTTAGTCCAACTAACTTTAACGCGGCGAGTTCGCGCGCGTTAGCTAGTAAACACAGAGTAAGCGAAAAGCTTTGGGCAAATTAGCGTCGTGAGATTTGCGAGAAGAAGGAAATTACACGAGTGAGGAACATGAGTCACGTTTTAATTCCCGAGACGCGTCGAGAGGTTGAAGCCGTAAGTGTATATCGACGGGACGCGAAAATCGTGGGTGTCTTAGAAAGAATAATACGTCTGGTCGGGGGGATAATATACCGTCCTGCGTAATCTTACGTTGTATCACATGCGACGGTCGCGCCGCGAATAATTTCGCTCGTCATCTGGATATTTCGCACGAAATATATTACGGCTCGCGGAAACTTGTAACGAGATTATCACGACGTAGCTACTTTATATTTCAGTCATCGGCGTTCCCCTAAACTTTTCTCGATACGGCTGACAGTACATAAATATTAATAATGCGTTCGTCGCGATTCGCTTGAATCGTGGCGCGCTCAAAGTGACAAAGTCGAGTCTGCTGACAGTTACCAACACGCGGACTGCCAATTCTCATGGATTGGAAGCTTGACTGAAGTTTGAGTAATCAAAGTTACGATACACAGGATTATATGCCTAGCCATATTCTTAATCAAGAGTTACTAAAAATTTTCGACTTAATCATTCGTTTCTAAATAAATTTCTAGATAAGATTCTAGTTAAAGGTCGTAACTGTTGCTCATTCGAAGAAATTGCAAAACTGTCAAGCAGCTGTGCCACTTGGACAGCTTGATGTTTTGTTTGTGTTTATAATTGCGGTTATCCGTTTACGTATTACGCATGATCGCGATATTATTAGTGGTAACATAATCATAAAACATGGATAATGATAAAAGCACTATGCTCGCTATCTTATAGTTCCTGAAACAGTTCAAAAGTAAATACTGCAATATTCTTCAAATAATCAATAGTCACGACTATCTAGACTAGAAACGAAGTGTGTTAGGTCGAAAATTTTGAGTAACTCTCGATTAGGATATATATAGGGAATATACAGGGTGGCCCACGTAAAGTGTTACAAGCTAATAACTCTAAACATATTTGTCCTATCAAAAAGTTGTTCATGAGAAAGTTTCATATATTCGAGGGGCCTTTCTAACTACGTAAACAAAAATCCACTTCCGTCCGATAACTTCAAAGTTTTAAATGGAACCCCCTATACAATGTTATATATTTGGATTCTACAGGAAAAAACAAGTAAACTTTGTCATAACATTTCTTTTCATGAACAACTTTTTAATAGGACAAATATGTTTAGAGTTATTAGCTTGTAACACTTTACGTGGGCCACCCACCCTATATATATAGGGAATAGGCAAGGTTTTTTGACACGTGTATTTGTTGTATCGCTGATCTTACCGACTTGCCATTGGTCAATTTGTTAGACGCAATCAGTCACGCTTGATGTGTAAATTAATGAAACGCGGCAGTCAATACGTTAAACGTATCGTCGAAGACACTCGGTCTTTGTGTGTGTGTTTATGTGTGTGTGTGTGTGTGTGTGTGTGTGCACGGAATTAATTCCGCGCTCCCTTTATAAATTAAAAAAACAATCAATGCGATAGAAATAAACGTATTCAAGCGAGTTGCGAGGCAGCCATGCGTCCGGTTAAAACGCATTCTCGAAAACTAAAATTAAAATGGCATTTTCATTGTAATATTATATTTAGATATGAAATAATAACGTAGGATTCGGATGGATATAAACGAATGTTTTATTCTCCGTAATATTGACGAAACGTTGCATGCGCCGTTATTACTGCATTTCCGATCGCAAAACATTGTCCCAATTAAAATCACATCAAATCCGACTTTAGCGTTTTTCGTCTAAGCGAGCGTCTTGCGCGTTGCAGGAAAACCGCGTTGCGATTTTTACTTGTCGCATTTGAATTACTATTTCGCGAAGTGGGTTCGTAATTTCTATTCGAGATTTACGTCGCTGTTATTAAAACGTCATAATATAATCACAGTATATACATATAACTTTCTAACAACCTAGTTCAACAACAAGTTGAACGAGATCTCACTCGGCACAGCTATGCTTCATGCGCGGATAGCATCGAAAGGGTGTCGCCGTTTACTGGATGTTTCGCGATTTTGCTATGGTGGCTTTCAAATAATTAAATTCGTGAAGTGATTAAAAACGTTACACAGACGTAAACGCGATGACAAATGACTTGTAGACTCCTTCCGTCGAGCAATGCCGATCGTTTCGATCCCTGCTACAACCATATTCGATTACTCGAATCGATTTCTCACTTGACTTTGATCGATTGATTAATATTCGAGATATTACGATAATTTTACATACAGAAATATATTCGATCGATCACTGATACAACCAAATTAATTATTCTATCAGTTACGTCGCTTCCCTTAACACTTTTTGACACAAGTACCTTCTATTAAAGAAAATGAGGAATAATACGGCGATAAAGGGGAAATAAAAATTTGCAACGTATTATCGTATCTCTGAATTCCTTTGCTCTATCATGTTTTTTTTATATTCTTTACTATAATGCAATCTCAACTTCGCGTCGTCTCGCCTCGATGTTTAGGAACCGGAGACACTACTTATTTCTGTCTTAGAACCCGCTCCGATTCCAGCGTTACGAGATACCCTGTAAAAAGCCTGCGTTGGCGGATCCAGCGTACGTGCGTGCGTGCGTGCGTGCATGCGTGCAATTACCGCCTACATATCGCATCGGTCACGAACACCTCGTCCGGCTTTCTAACAAAACCGTCACGGCGCGCGGCATCGCGACGTCCGTTTCCCTCTCGACATCAAAATTCCATGCCCGGCACGCGCTGGAATTTTTTACGGCCTCTGGTGCGTTGGTGTGGTGTGGTGTCTCACGAGAGCGGCGACCACACCCTGGCGGCTCGACACGACCTCGCGGAAGGGTGGTTATTAGTAGTAGTAGAAGGTCCTTGGCTTTAAGTTTTGCATCAAATCGAAATATTTCTCGCCCTTTTGAAGTGCTGACATTAATGATTGCAAAACGCCACGGTATGGCGAGTCAAGCTGCGTAATCTCAAAAGTCGATATTATAATAGTTATAATCAAAGAACATATTCTATTCATCTAGCATTTCATCTTCAGAATGCAATAACCGTCAAAAATATATGCTGTATGTATCACTGTATGTGATGATAATGCTGCATGAATCACGCAATGTGTAAAAATTGGTATAAAAAATTTCGCGACGAAAATTTGTATCCGAAAGACCATTCGCGTTTTGAACGAACTATTTGAATTGAACGACTTGTAGGCATTATTATATCAATACACAACGCAAACCCAAAAAGAACTTGCGGAATAGCTGAGCCAAAAAGCTATTTCCGATCGTTTCCAAGTCTTCCCGGACACTATAGGTTCTAATAGCGATGATGAAGAAGATACACGTGATGTGTTGCGTAACGTGTGGGGAGAGCATTTGTATCAGAATAAAGGATGAATAAACGCGGGATAAAGTCTGTTGGGAAAAAACAAATAGATTTATCTTCCTATTCATAGTCCGAAACAAAGGATTTGCGGGGAAAAGTTCGACACCTTTGCTACTCGCGCGACTCGTGTGGGAATGTAAGTATTTTTATCAGAGGCACATTTTGCGACGCGAGTCTACCTGCAGCTTTTATCTGTTTTAACACAGTCTGCTAATTGGAATCGATGAAGCGACTCGATTTCGCTAAAACGACGAATCTCTTTTTCTCACTTCGATATACTCTGTTCTGCGAGTGTATGCCGCGCGTGTGGCACGACGATCTGCGCGATCGGTCCCTTCGCACACCACAGATCTCATCAACTCCTCACACCTGTGCTTGCGCCGCCGTGTATCTCTATACTTATTGTTTCCAGAACCCTCGCCGTTGTACGACAACAACCACTACCACGAGGAGTGCCTAAAATGTAACAGCTGCGGCCTGAATCTCACGGGACCCAATCAGAAGCGGGCGAGACGGTGAGTACGAGCGCACTCCGTGCGGCTCGCTTCCGGCGAGCGCCGTAAAACGATATTACGCTTTAGTAATCAGTACCGTCGTAACCGGTGCCTCATTAATGCGCGAAGCGCCGGGACGCGCCTCTTTACCTTTAATTATCGTGCTCACTTCGTCACGTTCCCATTTCACCCGGGACTTCCGGCACGGCGGTAATGATCGTTAATCGAACGCTGCTCCCCGATAATTCGCCGTGTACGAAGAAAAGAGGATAAAAGGAGGAACGAAAAAATATGATCCAGCTACGTACCCGAGAGAAGGTTCCTTCTCCCGTCGGCGTTCGCCGAGTTCGGGGGAGGACGACTTTTGAGCTTAGGACGGATGAAAAAGGTCTTTGCGAAACCTCCCCGGTATTTACCGGGGCTTCCCGCGGGATATCTCCCGTGTTTACTTTTGTTGTAAAATTTGCTGTGTTACGTACACATACCATTTTGCATTAATACGACGAATAATCTCGCGTCATTACGCGCGTGTCGCGCGATATTAAATAACAGATTCTGCCTCAAAACGTCTCAAAGCGTGTTAAACCGTACATGAAGATTGCAATGAAATTTCTAAAGTTAGTTTTGAAGATACAGTATTGTTCTCCGAAAAGCGCAAATATTCGCGCTAATGGACAGCTCGAGATGTCCATTTTGATATTTTTGTATCGTTTTCGTTACACATTGAGCGATACGCATTTGTCGATAAAGTCTTCAGATATGGCATGCCCTTACGGATACAATATCGTTGTGCACGATTTTATACTGTTTAAAGGGCAACTGGCGCGTACTGGAAGTCGCCGCGGGGCAGCTGAATCACAAATTGCGATTTTATTATTCAGGTTATGTCGTATATTATTTACCGGTCGATTTATTATTTTTTTTTATTGTTTCCACGCTAATTACCGGCGAATAAGTCTTGCATTTTGTGTATCCGTGAGATCACTGTCGTTCCGAGGGCGGGAACGCTTAATCGCACGAGGAAGCGCACGTTTTTATCGCCCGGGAGTGGCGCGTCGCCGTCTCATATTTTTGCGACGCTACCGTTTTTATCCGCGATTTAACACTGTTTACTGGAGAGAAACGTAAATGATAAACGTAAAATCGCACAGCACGTCGGGCGAGACGACGTCCGTGCTGTTTTGCCTCGTGAATTCTCTCGACTCTTCCCCCCCACGTCTGCCCTCGTATTTTAAAAGACCGGGTCGTACAGTACATGAAACGAGATCCACGAGACGAGCGGCTCCACGACGGCTGAATTCTCGGGATAGTTCAGTCTCGGGCGGCGGACGCCGAATACCGAGGATATTCGCGATGAAATAGACTCGAGCGAAATTCTGCCGGGTCGCTGTGTTTTAGCGGTCGTGGACGGGCTGGAGATAAAGTAATATGACGGATAAACGTGACAGCTTAATCTAAACTCACGGATCGAGAAATAATAGAGCGCGCGGCTCGTTATCGACGATACACACTTGCCGTCTTGTTGCGCATCGTGCGAGACACACATATGCGACGTACACATATGTGCGCGTACGCGGAATACTTGCTGCGTTTTCTTCCACTGGCTTTTTTTTCCTCAGTCTCCACCCTGAACCGAATCAAGCGCGAGGCTACGGAGGGGATGCCCTTTGTGTAACGCGAGAAACTCACTCACTCGAGGAGCGGCCGTCGCGCAACTGCACTTTTAAAACGCATCGCCAACAGGGATTCCGTTCGCGATTTAACACTTTGTTCGCCGAAGTGAAAAAGGCGTCAATAGATCGCGACAGCGAAAGCCGCTTTTCCCGCCGTTTCTATACATCGCGAGACCGTCTGACTTTTACTATTTTATGCCATGCGCGACTACCACCGCCTTCGCCACTTCGCCACGAGGACACAAGCTTTGAGCACGACAAATACGTCCGTGACAATCGAAGTGCACCACGCAGAATCGTGAAAGAAATGAAGGGGAGCGAGCGAGAGCAACAATGCCGGCAACGAGAGATTTCAATTTCACAACCACAAATTCGATTAATCCGGCCGATTGCGAGATTCAATGCGAGACGACTCGCTCTCCTCGCGGGCTCCTCGTAGAAAATCATTCCTCGTTTTGCCGAGAGTGTTACGCGGAGAGCCGCTGCTCGGCCGGTCGGAACGCCGTCCTCGATTCGCGCGCGCAAATATCACGTTTTCGCACGCCCGCGTGCGCGTTCGTCCCGAATTTACGTGGCCGATATAATTTCGTTCTGTGAATGAACACGCGCGGCTATCTGTCGCGCGTTTCTCACTCGGCAACATTCGTTTACGTCACACACGCCTGTCACCCACGTTGGATTATCGCGAGACTCAGCCGATCGGAAAGCCACCCCATCGCGCCGCTCGGCCGCGGATCACGTGCAGCGAGCTCAATCGGCGATTTCGCGTGATAGCCCGGCGAGCAAAAGGGACGAAGTATATAGCCTTCCATCGGCCCGTCGATTCAGGCTGGCTATTTGCGATTCAACGAGCGTTAAAAGCGCGGCGTCGCATCGCAGCGTCGTAATGTCGTTCTCCGACGAGGCTTCGCGGTACGCGCGAGAGCACGATGGATATCGAAAAATATCTATTATCCCCGGACGGGGCGACGCGCGCACGGCACAAGCTGTGGAAATAGCGTGCGGAATGCCTGTCAGACGCAGGCCGGATTGGAATGGACATTTTAACGTAGCGTTACGCGATTACCGGACCGGTTTGCAATTCTCACACAGGTCGCTAATGCGGCCTGCACTACGCATAGGGGAGGGAGACACGTCGAAAAAAATATCAATAGAATCGTCTTGCGAAGCTGAGAGAATAACGTTTCCTCCGCGATTCGTATCCGCGACGCGACGTTCGATTACCGTCTCATCGGATGCCGTATTGCGCGGCGCAATACCGGCGATATTAACGAGAAGCCGGCATAAACCGCGCATTAAAATGTTTCATTCCCCGTACTTTCGAGTTTTTAAGTCGAAAACTTTAAGCGAAGAGAGGGTTCATATTTCGCAAAATTAAAAAATGCTACATTTTACGAAGATAATTTTACAAAGTTTGTATAGCTAAATTTTATGCATCAGATATGTAAAAAAATATGGTAAAAATATGGTAAAAATATGGTGGTTTAAGGGTGGACACCTTGCAGGAGAATAATATTCTTCGTAGAGGAGGAGATTTGCCGGCTGGAGTGTTCTTAGAAATGGAATGAATCCAAGGATGCCTCGTGGGATGGATTATCGCGATCCCCGCGAATCTCGGCGCAGTCAATGATTTTAATTGGTATCGCGCGATAGTGGCGAGCGATAAACGGGATAAAGGAGTCGGCACGTTCCAATAACCAAGGCTGTCAAGACGGCACGGCGAATTCGCATTTTATCAAGCGGCCCAACTCTCGCGAAACTTCGCTCCTTTCGATTGTTTTCATCCCGCGATAAGACTTGCTGAATTCGTCGGTATTATCACGTCGAAGTTGCACGTGTCGATGAGAAAAATTACCAATTCCGCCGATTCAATCGGAGATTCGAGCGCCTCATTAATTTCGCGTGATCGGTCGGCCGTGCTCTCGTCGTTTTTGCGTTCTAGAGGGACGACGCTCGCGCGAATATCGTCGCCGTTTCTGGCACACTGATCTCAGACGTTCAATTTGCCGTTGTAATCGCGATCTTATGAGTGCCCTTTCACGACCCTTGGCAGAGAGGCACCCATTCGTTGCTCGACGAACGATTCTAAGGGTCGTTCTGTGTCCCCAGGTTCAAGAACCAGATACTTTGCGATCTGCACTTTGCCGACGTGGCGCTGATGGAGTGCTCGGACTTCATGCAGCAGTTGCGCAGCTTCAAACCACAAAGTTTAGGCTGCGCAGTTGCGAGAAGAAAGTCCTCGACCACGTTGATCTTCCCGCTGCCACCTCAAGCGTGCTCCGGTGAGTACTCGCCGTTGTCGCCGTCGAAACCTCGCCGTTTTCTCTCTCTCTCTCTCTCTCTCTCTCTCTCTCTCTCTCTCTCTCTCTCTCTCATTACCTCCCCTTCCTTTTCCTCTCCTTCTATTCTCACGGCACTCGAATCGCTGCGTTTTCGCGAACTCGGCGTCGCGAACGCGAAGCTGCCAACATTTGCGCGAGTACATATGTATGAGACGAAGCTACAGGTGGTTCCGCCCGTCTTGGATTACGCACGATTACATGTGCGAAGCTACTTCGTGACGCCGGATTCGAGAGACGGACGTGAAGGTCTTACACGACGGGATCGCGACAAATGAAATCGCAATCGCGATGAGACACGCGAATGCATAACGGAGGAAACGACGATCGTCCGCGTTTCCCTGGATCGCCGCGATTTGGTTCCACGGACTAATTCCGCGGCGGTTGAAATAATTTTCGGGCAGGAATTCTCATTTGTGTGCCGGCGGATCGCTATGACTTATAATCTCGCCCCACTAAGAGTTATCTCTCTCTCTTTGACACGGGTGCCGGGACGAACATCGCTTTGCGGGACGAACAACTTTGCGATTCTCGAAGGAGGTCGGAGTGAAATTCAGCCAGCCGCGCCCGTGTCGAAATTTGGGTTTCCGCTGAGATATGGACGGCCATTATGAGCGGACAAAGAGCTCGACAATTAGGTTGAATCGCAGACACAGGCGGAGAAGAAGAGGAAGCACCGCGGGCGGCTCACTCTAAGTTCGGATACCAAGCCCTGTCTGTAAATAGCTTGGTGTTCTACCTTACAGTGAATCGACTGCGGTATCGTCGACAGCCACGCGCTGGTGAAAAGAGCAATCAAGTAAGCAAGTAAACAAAGTAGGCAAGCAGGAAGGAAGGAAGACGAAGATTGATAAAACTCTGCGGCAGCTGAGGGATCGGAGAAGAAAAAACATATTATCGGGGATACGTGCTAAGTGGACGTGAGTCCGCCTTGTGGAAGGAATATCACTTCGAGGTTCTCTACCTTCGCGTTCTGTTTCTCACACTCGCCCTCGAGGTTCTATTTTGTCGGATCGGATTCCTTTCTTAATGATTTCAGGCGGAGTGCTTGTCTTCACTGCTATTTGCTCCGTGCTCTCTCTCTCTCTCTCTCTCTCTCTCTCTCTCTCTCTCTCTCTCTCTCTCTCTCTCTCTCTCTGTTTCTCTATCGTTCATTCGTTTTGTTTCTCTAATTTCTAAACAAACCCCTTTCGCCTTGAGGACGATCCGACTGGTTCTTTTCGCGTCCGCGGAGAACAAAAGTACTAACGGCCGCCAATTCACTTCGCCGAGGGGCGTTAGACGAGCGGGATTAATTAACGTTAATCTCGCTTTGAGTGAAATTGCTCGATCGACATCAGCGCGCTTCACGATGAAAACGAGGATTATTGGATTTGCAACGTGCAACGCGCCACGACAATGTAATAACTTTTACCCTTGCGATATCGCTCCTTAGCGATCGCTCACCTGGCCGATTTCTTTCTCGCCTGACCGCGACGCTTTAACCTTTTGTGAACACGACTAAAACCGTTCGCGAAACTTCCTGTCGGAAACGATCTGTCATGCGGAGATCTTACGTTGCGATAGTAATCGAAAAAGAGCACAGGGGAGGCCGTATCTATTTAAATAACTATAATGTAATTGTTAATCACACGCAAGCACTCCATGAAGAGGAATTTTTAAGCATTTAAGGTCCCTATACAGCAATTGCATTCACTTCGAAAGCTCATTCTCTATTTATATCCATTTTGTCAGGATTTTACACTTCACTCGTTCTAGTTTTACACACTAGAGAAAGCGAAATCCGCGAAAAGAAAGCGGACAAATTAGGGATGGATACAAGCTGAGAGGATCAATTTGTCTGTAGATGAGTTCTGCCAAGAGTTTCCGCACAACTTGTTACCGACACCCGGCTATTGGATCGAGTGTTCGCGGCAGCAGATCGCGTCGGACACGATCTGGGACGAGACCGAGAGCGATCGCGAGGCTACCGATCCCGAACACGCGGAGGAGCAGTCGGAGCCGTCGTCAATGCTGAAGCGGCAGGATAACAGCTTCTGCCTATTCGAAGAAAATGAGGTCGATACGGACGATGTACCGCGGAAGAAGACCGCCATCGAGGAGCAATGGGAGAAGAATCAGGGCTTTGAGCTCACCTCGGTCGAGCAGGAGACCTACGAGAAGTACTTCTACGGCTCGGAGCATTGGAATTACTTCACGAACGACGAGGATCTCGGGCCGGTGATACTCAGCATCAAGCAGGAGACGCTTAATAGCCGAGACCAGTTCAGGATCTTGGTCAGAGCCATCAGTTACACGGTCCACGGCCTTATCCCCGCCAGTTGCGTCTTTGCCGACCGGTAACGTCTTTATTGTTCATTTACTTTCAATTTTACTTATTTTCTTGATAAAATTTTATTTATTTTGTCTTGATTTTTGTCTTAAATTTTAAAATTTAATAATAGGACACGCAAGTTTTTTTCTCAATTTATATAAAGATTTATCTCGATAATGAAGCGAATGACTCAGTAAGATTAATAGTTCTCTTCATCTCTCGACAGCACACGTGAAACATGTTCGATTTCGCCGCAGGTACAATCGCGAGGAAGTGGTACGTAGCCTCGGCAAGGAGGTAAACATCAACCCGCCGCTGACTTTGGGCCAATTGCCAGACACGCCCGAAGAACTTCTCAAGCTCGATCAAGTTTTTATTAAATCCGAGCTGAAGGTGGGGGTGATGTATGTTCAGGAAGGTCAGTACAACGAGGAGGAGATACTCGACAACAACGACAACTCGCTGCTCTTCGAGGAGTTCTTGCAGATTCTCGGCGACAAGATCAGGCTGAAGGGTTTCGATAAGTACAAAGGCGGTCTCGACACCGTGCACGATTTGACGGGCCTATATTCTGTCTACACCAATTGGAGGGGTATCGAGATAATGTTTCACGTGTCCACTTTATTGCCTTACGAGAAGCACGATCCTCAAAAGGTGAGTCGCTCGCATTCATAGTTCCTGTTGCTTCAGTTTTATTCCGACGAGATAGCTCTTGGCTCGAACAGTGCAAAGAATAATCTTAGTTGATGAGACGTGTCGGGAACTTATACCGAAAGCTTCTTATTTCGTTCGCACAGCTCCAAAGAAAGAGACACATCGGCAACGATATAGTGTGCGTCGTGTTTCTGGAAGCCGACAACACGCACTTCAGTCCATCTTGCATTAAGTCGCACTTTTTGCACACGTTTATCCTGGTACGAGTGAGTCCACGGATAAAACGGAAAATCACGAGATACGAGGTGTCCGTGGTCACGAGAGACGAAGTTGGGGCCTACAAACCATATCTATGGGAGCAAAGCGTTTTCGAAAAAGGTGCCGATATGATCTTTATACCGAATTAAAAGTAGCGCGACTAGAAAGAGCTAGAAATTTCGTTTGATGCCGCGATCTAAAGTTCGAAAAGAGATGTACCTTTTTCTTTTCATGTCCACGCATGCACATCGCGTGCATCGCGACCGAATACTCGATTTCGTCGGTTGTTATTTTATTCAATGTTTAATCATTGGTACGTTGAGTACTAAATGATTACTTATTATTATTCATAATCATATAATTTTCATTCGTATAAATCTACGTTGTTCGTGCAACGAGTTACGTTACGGCAAATCCAATATGATTATGCTAATTTCCATTTTAGCGTCATGCTACAATTACCGAACTTCTAATTGACAATTAAGGAAAGTCATAGCGCACGGTACGAATGATATTAAAGTTGCGTTGGCCGGGCCACTTCGGAATTGTGTCAGCTTAAAATCCCCCTTACGTTGTCTAACTTATCGAATTGGGATATCCGGGCGCAACAGGTCCGATGTTCCGCGAATGGATTTTAACGAAAATCGTAAACGGCGAGAGGGCGAGTTATTCAGCGCCGAAATTCGCGAGGATGCAGGAGAGGACCAGGAGTCAAATGTTGGAGGACATCGTGGCGAATCTCGCGAATCATGCGGAGACTGGGCAGATCCCGAAGCCGTACAGGTAAGAGAGAAACGTGATGGCAACAAAGTCTCAATATTAAAAAAAAATATGCGAATGAACGAATGCGTAAAAAAATAGGTATTGTAAACGTTTTATATTGTAAATTATACAGAGAAGACGTGATAATTAATTTCCTCAGATTATCGTTTTCTATATAGTCTACAATATATCCGTGTGTAGAAATATCTTGAAATAAAATAACGAGCGATTTCACTGTTCCTCTTATAAATCGATTATATCTTTGATTGCAAAACGTTCAATCAATTATTGCTAATAACTCCATCAGTCAACGGGATTAGATTTGTGATTATTTGTTTCTAGACGAGGTTCTTGGCGACCGATTGGGCACATGAGACCGTCTTCGCCGTTGTTGGATTCGGTACGGGATCAGTTCGAGGACTATGATCAACTCGCGAAGGACTTCACCCGAGTGTTCCTCAATAATTCAGCGAACGTGACGCTAAACGCTAGTCTGTTCGACGTCTCCTTCCTTGTGCCAGGACAACAAAAGCAAAAAGTCAGATTTATCGGAGTTAGGGCGATCTTAGCAGTGAGAAGCAGGTAAAAGCCTTTAACAAATACTTCTTTTTCGAGGATTACGACAATTGTTTGTTGTGTAATAAGAAAGTAAAACACGCAACATCAAGTTAAAATTTAAGCCATGCATAATTTTCACGCAGGACTGCGCATTAATGTCCAATAAACCTAAATTGTGTTTGCTTAATTGGACTGGCGGAGGAAGATGTTTTTCCAATAATTCGTTGCTCACTGTAGTTCATCAACTCTTCAAATGAAATAAATATTTTCTAATTAAGCTCACTGTGTGTTTTACAGATTCGTGAGTTTTAAATAATCAACGAGAAACCGAAACGAAATAATTTATCGATATTAGCTTTAACTGATTGCAAAGGAGAACAGAAACATAAATATAAAATAAATATAAAAAAATAATAAAAAATAAATAATAATAAATATAAATATAAAAATGTGCAATTGTGAAACACAATGTGACACAAAGCTAAAGAATAAATATATAAAAAATAGAAAGAGATGTAAAAGACTGCATAACTGCACTAGATAGAAATAATTTGCTCGCGAGTCCATTTATATTTATAACCAAATTAAAAAAATTATCTACAGCACTATATAAATTTTTGTCTTTGTGCAGAGTGTTCCAAGAAATGCTGTACGGTATCCAAGCGGGCTTTGGAAGCCCGCAAGTTCCAGTCGCCGAGTTGCTCGCAAGGCCGGCACCGACGTTGCTCAGCCCGCAAAAACCGAAGAGCTCGAATTTCCTTCAAGTTCCCGACGTGGAAAGTCCTAGGTACGTTCGTATCTATATAGTTGTTGTTACCCTTTTGTTGATATTTATCTGTTAGTCTCATGTGAATCCAGTTCGAAATCATAAATTTCGAAGTCCATTCGATAAAGAGGTGAAATTCATCATTGTTATGAAAAAAAAGAAAAAAATGCTGGTAAGTCTCGCAATCGAATTGTCGTCGTTCGTAAAGCGTTGTCGAAATATTAACACAACTCCGTAAAGGACGCTTGTAAAACTGATTGGCGGCTCGAAAGTATTCACTTAGGATGTTGAGCATAGACTCGTTAAGAATATCGATCGAAGATTGCGTAGAAGTGTGGATTATGCGATCTCTTATGCAAAATTGGATTTCTCTCCAATGAGAATAAACTGGAAACTCGTTTGAGGGTGAGACTAATGCCTGCGATTTTCAGTGTGATTTTCGAATGTTTCTTTCATACACTTATATATATATATATATATATATATATATATATATATATATATATATATATATATATATGTGTATATATATATATATATATATATAGATTTATATATTAGATTGTAATATATGTATCTTTTTACGGCACATCCATGTCTCCTATCCTCACGGCACCGCATGATTATCTCGTACAATTATCTTCTTATTTGTCAATATGTATTCTTTATTTATATACCGTATACACACATATATACATATGATGCAAGAGATTCAAATTTTTTAAAACACGTGTCGTATATTGGATTCTATGTGGCATGCTCTTATCTGAGAAATCATCCGCAATATTCTGCCGAACGATATCGTATATAACTCCCCTTACTTCAATCGTTGGGAAGGAACGAGAAGTTATTTTACGAACAGTGAAATTCCATGGATGAATTCCATGAATAGTTTTGCTCGCTAATACTTTTTCGAGAAGGTTTCATCCTAATGATACGATATCCTATAATTTTTGTGTACGCTCTTTCTCACTTTCCGTTCATTCATAATGTTGAGATCACCGAGTATGCTTCTTTGCGTTCACTTTCATTGTAACGCGTCATCGCTGATGATTCTATAATATCACAATTCGTGTCACCGCAGTTTTCGTTCGTACCTATTTCAAATTTTATGTAACAATCGCTGATTATATTGATGATTTAGCAACGTTTCATCTATTGCTGTTATGAACTCAATGATTATGCGTAACGAATTATTTCGTGATTCACCGCACGTTTTTAACACGTACAAATAGCGAGTTTTGAGAGCGAGCTTTCGTTGTTGTGTCTGGTTTTCGTTTCGTATAACTTTATATTCGATATTTCCTTCTTCACCGATTATATATAATCTCTGCCTCTCCCACCCCCTCCCCCCTTCTTCATCCTTCGACTCGTCCTTATATTTCTATATGAAATTCTCTTATATTCCATCTCCAAACCTTCAAGTGCCGCTCCGCGGTTTCTGTGAGATACTGGTTCTAATGTGTTTAGGCCCAAAAGTGTCCCCTCATCGCCAATGGTGAAACGGGCCTTCTCGCGATTGGGCACGATCACCGCGGGATGGGGAAGGAGCATTAGGAAGCACGGCAGTGGAAACACCCTGCAGAGCGAGGATCGAAAACGATGGGCCAGCTCGCAAGACTGCAGTAGTACGTATCTCGTGTCTTATGAGAGGAGAAGAAACAGCAAGAGGAAAGAATATAAAGGATGAAAACTTCGTATATCATGACTTCTTCACTAGTTTTGTATTCAAATATAACGTATATTCTGGACATGCAAAGATGCGTTCGTACGATAGGTTCGATCGCGATTGAGTGGAAGGATGAAATTTAAACATTATTTCTTATAGATAAGGAAGCGAAAGATAAGGATAAAGCGGCATCATTGGCAGTGCCAAGGCTAAGTGTTTGCGCGGACGTGCAGAAAGTAGATAGAGCGAAACTAGCACAGACCGAGGTGAGCGTGACGTCAGACGCGTATCTTCATACCGAGAAGTGGATGAAAAACGTTTTCCAAGAGTTGTCGTGTGAAATTGCAATTTCCTGAGAAATGTGTAATCGATGTGTCAGCTGTATATATCGCGGAACATTTCAATATTTTATATCCTGTAAGACCTCTAATACTTTTTATTCCTTCGTTATTCCCCGTCTTCAACGTTTGACAGGTCAATCCTATTTTTATCGCTGATTAATATTAAATCCGCGTTGAATCGTTAATAATATTTTATTGTAGAACAATTAAAAAATATATTGGTTTTTTCTCCGTTGTTTATTAACAAAGACGAATATTTCCAGTTCGACATTATCGAGTTTGATCCAGAAACGTTCCGTATTCTGCTGGATTATTTGCACACTGGTTCCTGTCCGCTGACGTGCAGCAACATACCGGGTCTGATATGCGCCGCGGAACACTATGACTTGCCCGAGCTTCTTCAAGCTTGCTTCCATCATGCTAAACAGTTCCTCAGAATCGAGATTGTCTGTGTGATGCTCTGCGCCCTCGAGAATTACTACTGGCGTTATACATCCGCCTCCGAACTGGTCAACATGATCCTCTCGTTTGTCGAGACCAGGGCCTATCAGCTCTTCCAGAACCCAGACTTCCTTACACTGAGCGAGTCGATGGTGCAGATGATCATGTGCCGTAGTCTCGAAGTAGTGGAGATCAAGAAGTTCGAAGCGATGCTGAACTGGGCGAATCACAGAATCAAAACCAAGACGAAGATCGACGCCAAAGTGGAATTCAAATGTATCATGGAGAGGCTTACTAGAGATCTTAAATTACACAGGATAACACCACATGAATTGATCAGGGTAAGTGTCGAAAGCATGAAGGCGTGTGTGAAAGAACGCGATAAAAATTTGATTAATGATATTATGACGTGAAATCAGATATCGTAATACATTTTTCTAATTATCGTAAAGCAGGAAACGCAATCACGATCAACGTTGAAACGTTACGTGTAAGATTTGTGTTAATTCTAATCATCTCTCGCTTTTTCAGATCGTACTGCCGTCAAAGGCTATAAAGAACGAGCGAATCCTCGAAACCCTGATGTACCAAGCGAACTCGGGCATCTTCAGGAACGTCGACAGCTATTTGGAGGCGTATCAGAAGAAAGTACAGAATCAAGACAGCTTCGACTGCGGGCTATAAGGGTATCTATGGAAACGCGCGAGAGACATCGCGTAGAACGAAGTGTACCTGAAGATATCTTTCGACGATCGACTGACGAATTCTCCGACTACGGGAATGTCTTATTTCGTCTTACGCCGTTCTACAAGCATGTCACGTCACCGGACTCATCAAGGCGCGCGAATAATCGCGATCCTTTTTTTTGCAGCAGTGATCTGTAATTAGAGTGTCAAGCGGCCGCGATATTCGATATGTAGGAGTGGATAATTATACTGCGGAGCCTGACAAGAGTTATGATAGATTGCTCCGAGATCGTGTAAGATCGCTGCTGCCGGGCCACTCGACGAATAATGAGTTTAGATACAGTCCCTGCTCCACTCGCGCAAACTTTGCTCGATATTCGCACGGTAATTCAATCGCGTCTAGTGGCTCAAGCTGCCGCCCTTGTTTTGTTCACGCTATCGAGGTAAATCATCCGCCGGAGGCAACAGCGACGTAATCCCGATACCCCACGACCGTCATATTCGCAAACGATCCGATTAACTACTCGACGAAGGGAGAATTTAAGGAGATGTAAAAAAAAAGAAGTAAATGAACTTTGTTTCCACTCTTCGTCAAAAAATTCATTGGATAACGTCGCGAGACATCGGGATTACGTTGGAATAAACTTCGAGACTTTTCTCTTATTCGACAAGTATTACGGTAAAGCTGTGAAATATTGGCCCCTGCGCCGATAGAAATAAAAGTCTCACGCGTGTCGCGTAATTATTTCCGGCATAATTACAAGAACTCTTAAAGTACATGAAAAATAGATTTTGCTTCCGGTTCTTAAGATCTTAAGACGTGAAGACTTGCCTTATAACAATGCTTCCATGATTTCGCATTAAATTAATTTTATATTATTATCATCATAAGACAACATTAGCGTTTAGAAATTAGATTTATACGCATTCTTACTGCTTCTTTTTATCTAGGAACTAAATTTTATCTTTGAGAACGCATTTAACATAATTTTCATTCAATTTTTGCACAAGCTTTTGAGACCCGTCTTCTTACTGAGTACGTTATATTTCCAATAGCACAGAAAATGTTCTTCCAAGGTCTCAAAAAGCAGTGAGTATTGATGAACTGAGTGTCGGAATGAAGTGAGGAACGCAATTACGATGTGATCGGCGTTTCGTATTAAAGTTCCGCGAGTAGGCTTCATCGATCTTCGATGCAGGATTTGCTACATTTAATTCTAATACGCGGTCCATAGGATGAGTGTATTATCGATCGACGCGACTGAGGTCGCGATCATGGGAGCGCAAACGCAAGGAGCGTCACGATTTTCTTACCGTAAATAAGGAGATTCGCGCGACGGGAATTCGGTTTAGATAGAGATCGAAGTAATTAAATAAAAAGAATTGTGTTGTAACTGAATCATTATGCTGCGACACCGCGAGTGAGAGGACAACGATGAGGACAAATGTAGCCAGTGATATTTTTCCGCGCGACATTGTCACCTGTGCGTGTAAATGAAATAAGAATGAAATAAACCGAGGACACGACGCAGTCGTTGTCACGAGCACAAGGCGCGGCGTTAACGCAGTTGAATGAAAGAAAAAGGAGACTCACCTCTGTAGTCATTGACCGCAGATTTTCGGAGGCGTGTATCGTAGTCCGTACCGTAGCCAGAAATATCGACGGCACTTAATAAATTGCCGACACGTGACAATCTGTATTATAAAGAAGAAAAATGCTGCTAATAACACGATAAATAAAACATGGATTAAAAAGAGGTTTACTACTATGTATAAGCTTAAAAAGAAATATATAAATATACATATATAATATATATATATATATATATATATATACATATACGTATCGGGATAAGGATAAAACTCTATAAATGATGAGTAACAACAATAATAAAAAAAAAGAAATAATAACGATAGTAGTAATAATGAAGAAATAATAATGACGATAAAGCGGCAAACGCGTCGATGTTGAGTGCGAAGTGAAAACAAAATCAGATATATTTGAGGTCTTGTTCTGTTTTCTATCGTAGATTTTGTATCTTCGAATACTCTAAGGCGGAGATTCTAAAATTCACACGGGGGCAGACTGGAGAAAGAATTTCTCGTGCGACAGCGCGCGAGTCCCTTTTTGTTCTGTTGGACGAGATGTGGCCCTTTCAAAAAACGGGACATTCATCTTTCCGATTGTACCCGCTAAATTTTTTATCGCCCAATCGTGGACTATGCTGATCTTCCTGTTCGACGAAGAGACGAGACATATCGACGATCCTTCTCCATCGCGAGAACGGATTCCCGAACTGACGTTGGGTTTTCACTCGAGTTTGGTCAACGTGATTTCGACGAATTTTTGCGAATTTTAAGAGAAGATTTCGACCAGCCTGGCTCCGGTTACGCTTCTATAACGACTATATCAAAAGAGAGAGAAAGAAAAAGAAAGAGAGAAAGTGGAAACGGCATGAGAAAGCAAAATAGGGAGGCGAAATAGCGCGCGATTTAGCACACGGATCGAAAATCCCGCGAACGGTCGCTCTCTTTGAAGATCCTTTGTAGAAATCGATTTTCTCCGGGGTTTCCAGGGAAGAAAATATTTTTACACGATCTCTCGACTGGGGTCGTCCGCAATACGACATAATATTTTCGAGCGCCGATCCCCCGTATATTGTGTTATTATATACGTAACAATATATATTACGGTGTAACGTGCGTGAAGGGATAAAAAGGTCGTTAATCCTCAGCCACTACGGTGCATTCAAATCTTGTCCCAGTTTTAGATACTTGTGCAAAAAAATAGCGTATAGGTTTGTGTGTTCGATTGATTGAGAACTCTAACTTCTCTGTAGTGTATTTTATGATCAACAGTTTTTAAAAACTGTCAATCTTAAAGTGAAATTGTTAGCATCTTCCGTATTATTATATAATTACATTGCAGAAATTATTTATAATTTGTCATTAGTATTAGAGTGGTTCGATGGTACATACATATATGAAAATATTATGTGTATTGATATAATGAAGAAAATTATTTTAATATCCGTGAAAATTATGCAAATTTTAAATTAACAATTTACTTCTCGTCGTAAGTATAACAACAATACGAACACGCTGACAACAATCAAAGATAAGATCGTTTTCTACCTAATTATTGGGACTAGAATTGATACGTCACCGTAATAATCTTATCTAACATTTAACCACAGTGGTCGAGGATTAAAAAATCGACCCTCCTCTCGCCGCAAAGATCGCCAAACTGTTAAGTGTCTTATTGTTCAAACAAGCGGCTGGACGAAAGTAGAATTTCGAAATGTCTTTGTTCGAGAGAAATTCGATTATTATTGCATGCCAAATTGTTAGGTAGGATCACTCGTTTCGGTTATCGTGTGATTTGCGTCGTTAATAATTTACATCAATCATATGCACTGTGCGGTAAAGAGAATTTTTGTAATGCTTTTGCGGGGAATGATAAAACAACAAAGTACGAACATATAAAATATATAACAATAAAAAAATATATATATTTATTTATTTAATGAAATATGGAAATTGTATGTTAACTAGTTATGGGAAAAAACCGTTTTAAATCCATAACTTTTAAAAAAGAGAAAAATGCATTACTACAAAGTTGTAAAAAACAGATAAATTTCATTTTTTAAATATAGATTCAAGAGACTGTTTTCTCCATGGCTTTTAAATGGCTGTTTTAACGCAATATCTATTTTTTTAAATATGGATTTCAGACTATTTAAAAGTTTTTCAATTATGCAGCAGTTATTTCCCTAACTGATTCAGCGAACAATTTTCTCGGAGATTAGATTAATTAGTAATGGTATAAATCTCCGCGTAAGTAAATCTAATATGAAGACATCGAAATTTATCGGCACCTATTCGTCACCGCACATATGATAATGATGAATTTTCTGTCGCGAAATTACGTCTTACTTCGCGATCCAAACGAAGGACATACACGATAACGGGGACGACCGAGCGAAACTCGAAATTCTACTTCGTCAGTGTGTAAGCGTAGATGTTCAGTGTGTGATCGAAGTATATTTGATTGGTCGCTGTATCGATTTCCACGACGTCTCACAGTCTTCGTAGAGACGCCGGGAAGATCATTATCCATTGCGCGTTATACAATATGTGTAAACTAATTCGCGCCTACTATTAAGATACATTGTTAACATGTGATGAAAATTTTACTTAGACATCAAAATGTCATTTAAAAAGATGCTTTCAAAAATCACGACTCTTATTGCAAAAAAGAATTATTTACATTATTACGAAGTTGTATGCAAACAATCTTGCATTCCAATCCAAACGTAATTAGCTAAACTTTACTTGATAATCACTTTATTAAACATCGCGAAAAGAAATAATTATTCGATTCAAATTTCCATTAAGAATAGCACTGTATGAATAATAGTTGCGAATTGATTTACACTCTGTATTTATCGGGACGAAAATTGACGCAGGTTCACTTAAATTTTACAAAACGACGAGATCCGTCATACACACGTTATTATAACGCAATTGTGGTTTCGTGATTGTGAGTATGTCATATGTAAATTCGAGATATAGATCAGAATATTTCAACGCGAATTCTCACGTATAAAAATTTCAAGATAAGACTCGTAATATATCTAATATATTATGCGCTACAATTTAATTTCTAATTCAATCTTAAGACCGGAGTTTAATTCGGGCACTCGATTAATCGCGCAAGATTATGTTTTTGTAAAGAATGTTACATTCAACTAGCACACATTTGTGCAACGATGATTCACTTACGTTAACATCAGTAACAGTGAAATCAATATAACTATAAAACATAATGTTATTATATTTAGATTTTGATGCTGCAGCGTGGCAGCAAAATGTCTCGTGTAAAATTCATATCTATAAAATCGGCGAATTGAATTCGCCGAGATTACACAACGATGGCGATCCTCGAAGAATTCGTAGAAGATATGATTCGAGATATGAAAATATGTGACCCTGCGTTCGAGTTCGCCCGAAATACCACGAATCAGTACAAACTTGCGCTTGTCGTGTGTAACTCTTCCTCCTCTCGCGCCGCGGCACGGGTATACTAATGTACAAAGCGACTTTTTTTACTGTACTCGACGACAGTTCAGGCGTTGCTCGGTCAAGGGAGAACATAACATATGGGAGAGGGGGAGGGAGAAGTAATGCGTCGTGTGTGAACACAATACTCCCGCTCTCGAGAACACCCAAAAATGAAAATTGAGAAAAATGTCATCGAACGCCATTCTGTCCAGCCATTGCCGCCTACTGTTCAACTAGCACATTCATTCAAGCAAACATAAAGGAACTATTTCGCAAAAATACGAATAAAAAATAAAAAAGGAATATCTATATACGCATACATATACATAAAATATATATAAAATATATATAGATATATATATATATATATATACATATATATAAATATTAAAATGTACACACGTACGCATGGCATACACGTGCACACGTAATGCAAGAGAGAATGAGGGGGAGAGCAAGAGTATAATGCGACGAGTAAAAAATAAAAAAAAGACAAAAAAATTGTGTATGTAACGAAATACTGTGCGCCACGTGAGCGGACTCCGGCGAGTAAGAATAAAAGTAACTCTAGACGCACATTGAGACGGATAGTGGATTTCTGATATGGCAAGAGAAAGAGAGAGAGAGAGATTGTTTTATCGAGAGCGACTTGTCACGATGGTGACCTGAAGCGGTGATCTAAAAATCGCCCAATGTTCTAGGAAGATAATCAAGCGCTAAATGTCATATCGCTAAATGAATCGAGGCTGATTGATCGGTTCTTCACAGTTCCGCTTGCACTGGTTGCTTGCGTCACCGTGTTAATTGATATCAGAGCTTTCAGCTGTAACGTTCCATTTCAGATAGTACAGTATATCTATATTGTATACTAGTACAATATCTATACTCTCTGTAATTATGATCGTTTTGTAACAGAGAGCTCCTTTAGCGAACTGATCCGCGCAAATCAAAACTCTGTCGAAGTAATTGTACGGGTGCGAGATTCGGTGTTTACGACGATGGACGGCATATTCGTCGTATCGCCTATAACTCAATGTGCGGCTGGCTTTTAAGGATAATCTTGATCGCGTTTGTTGCGTTTCGTGCGATATATACGAAGGTTGTGCGTAATATTAAGCGCTTCTCGAATTCTCCGGTATGCGTCTGGTTATTCGTGCGATAGTCTATAAATGTGTTGTTGCGATGTCGCGTATGTGTCATCCTTCTTATCTTGTTAAATACTCGCTGTCCTCCTCGACACTGCTGCCATTGGATTTTCATCTCGTTGTTGTTATTGTTGTTATTGTTAAGAGGAAAGTGTATTGTCCGTTCACACAATAATTGCACACGTGTCACGTGAAAAAGGCGTAGCAGCGAGAAGTCACGACTACGACTATACTTTCCGGCCACGTGGCTTTACGTTGAGAATTGCGACAATTGCGCGAATCGTGAGTTTCTATAATCAAACTCTGTACACCTATATGAAATATTAGAAATCCCATAGGACATGTTCAAATTCTTGTAAAATAATGGTAAAGAGTTATTTTGCATAAAACGCTGTGGAAGATATCGTTTTTAAAAAGAAAACTATTTTTTGTGAGAGTAAAAATGATCACACTATTTTTACGGTGTGTGACTAGTACGAATAAAACAAAAGTCGTGACTCTCGAATCCTGCAAACTGTATATTTCCCTTGATAAAATAATTGTTGAGTGATCGATATCAATTCGCAATCAAGCCGATGCTATTTTGTTGCGCCGAATATCTGCCCTATTGTTGATGATTTATCGTCCGCATGTTTTTTAGCTCGTTTCGCGACGATATGTATTACCCGACTGATAATTTGTTATCTCGTATATATCACTCGCATTGTTGTACACGTGAATCCAAGTTAATAATGGTGCGTATGGTGGACGGAAATTATCGGATATCACGAAATCACTAGTAGACCTAAAGAGCGTTTCTAGTTCTATGCGATCATATCGGTATGAAGTCATTGTATGTGACGTGACAATTATAAAATGTGCATGCACACGAGTTTCTTCCTTCCTTCTTCGTCGTCGTGTTCACGTAATGAATCTATCGGAACTCGCCGTGTCGCGCTTGCGTGGTAACGAATACAAAGAGATGAAATTATAAACAAAGATTTATTGTATATGAAGCTACTGTGATGTTACTGTTGAATATAAAAAAATATATATATGTATATATATATATATATATATATATATATATATATA